GTGTGTGTGTGTGTGTGTGTGTGTGTGTGTGTGTGTGTGTGTGTGTGTGTGTGTGTGTGTGTGTGTGTGTGTGTGTGGTATATATTTCACATTGAATTATTTAAAGCATTAAAGATCCAATTTCGACCAGTATAAGCATTTAATTTCTAAAAAGAATATAATTTAGTTGCAAAAATAAAACGACATTTGATCGTGTTTTTAAAAATATATTTTCAAAGGAGCTTATTATTGTTTGATTGCGTTATATTAAATATTTGATTAGTAAATAATTTTCTGTCAAGTTAAAAAACAGCTTTTCTGAAACTTAATTTTGTGAGTTGTGTCATTTTTGAAATAATGGGACGATATAGTTATGCATACTGTACCTAGTGGAACGCAAGATTTCAGTTCAGCAAATCCAGAAACTTGTTGGCCAGGATATATAATTGCGTATGTGATAAATAATGAACCCACGTGTGCACGCAATGCATAACCATGCATATTCCGGAGTTCTGGCAATACGGAATATACTATGAACGTCAACAACAGGAACGGCAAAGACAATAGGTGGCATGCGGATATATATACTGGAAGTTTTGTCTGACCAGTGCAGATGATCACATCATATACCTTCCGAAACATAATGGCAAAGCAATAAGACTTTGGTGAAATAAATTCGCCAGTAACTGTATACAAAGAGCCATTGGTGAGTAACAAGTATGTATTGGCATAAATAAATTGGCGACCATATCCTTGTTCAACGCATGGATCACGAACAGTCAAAAATAGTTTGTCAGATATTTCATCCTCAGAATCATTCTTCTGTTTGTTTGGAAGAGCGTACATGTTTTGAAGAGTATATTTATTCTCTCCGAGATGTTCGATGCATCGTCCCTTTATTGTCAAGTTATAACCAAAATTACAACAGAGCTGAATGCAAGCAATATTATCATTGCACTCTTCTTTTTTAACAAAGATAGTTTTAACTGTTGTATGGGAATCATCGTATTTATACGATATGGAATTGTCTTCAGTTTTGGTGAAAGTTTCATTAATTTCTGGTAACGTGAAATTATTGATCTCTGTCGAATTCGTACAGAACTCCATAGATGTCTGATTATTATCTTCGAGATTTTTTATTATATGTTCACGAGACTCGTATCGCACCGAGTCATTCTTGCAATTATTTTTTGTAGAATTTACGAGAAAATCAGACTGCATTGTCGAGTTGTCGCTTTGCTCATCGCTATTCGTAAAATCTTCCTGAAATTCCGACAACGAAGCAACAAGCAGAAGTGCAAAACAAAGTACGATACTTGGTGAATACATCGTTAAATTATTGAAGTATTAAATTCAACTTGGATTTTCTTTATCTTGTAAGTAAATATTTAGCATAATATTGTTAATTCTGGAAAGAAGCACAGTGGCTTTATTCTGCAACGGTTTTGTCTGAAAAACAAAAAAAAAGAGGTTTTTGGAGTAAGCATGCGAATACAAGTTAGAAAGATCGATGACATCAAATGAAGAAGGTACCTCGCAAGGCAGGTACCTTCATGGCCCTTCTTTGACCATGAATAATGACAGCGACAAGGAGATTTTTGTCCTTTTGAATTTTTTAAAGAATTAATTTTGTTTTTAGAGAAGTCCAACACGATCTCTTTAGAATATGTTATGTAAGTGATAACTATGTAAAATGATTCATAAAAAAGTAATACAGCTAGAAAGCGATACATCTCGATTTAATAATTAATTATACGCGAAGGAGAACAGTTTTATTTGTTTACAAAGATTAATTCCACGTACTGCATGGTGGTTTTTATCCTAGACTAACGCAAACAAATATCAAAAATGTATACATATAATGTATAAAAACATTAAGATATTCCTGTTGTCGAATCGATTGTGTAGCTAGAAGTGAACAGTTTAGTTCACTTCCAGTGATAGATGGAACGAAAGTAGATAGTATTATATTAAACCACACACCAATCCATCGAAAATTTATAAATTGTGAACTGTATTGATTATAAATAAATAAAGTGGAATTAAGATTGGGTTGTTAATATTATTTCTTTCATTACATTTTATATAATGTTGTATTTGAATTATGATGATCACATCGATTAATATACATTAATCTATCAAACTTAAGTTCCAGGATGCAAATGTTTTACAAAGTCCTTAGCTAATTTTCTCTGATGTTATTTTGATGACTATTATTCAATTCATTCCATAGTTATGACTATTATTCAAGGATTTTATTATTGATTGTACGCGGCGTATACACAATAAGAATTGTACGGTATGATTACTTTGCTTTATTATATCCGGTTTTTAACTCAACCGGTTTGTATTAAATAAGGAAATTTTATATAAGAAAAACATTCTTTCATTTATACTGTTTTACTTATTTATGTATATTTGCACAATATCATAGTTACGTTGTCTAGTTGTAGTAAAAGTAAAGAAAAAACAATTGTCCTATAAGATAAAAGTAATTAATTTGTTACGTAAATAATTAAGTGATACGTGTTATTTGAGAAAAATAAATATAGTTCTTATATAAATGATACGGAGTTAATGAGCGACCTTTGTTTAGTAAAAAAAACTTTGTAAAAAAAATTTGCTTTACTATCAAATTAATAACGCATTATATATTATTATTATGTATCTATTGAAAACGTCCTGGGAAAAAATGTTTTATATATAATTATGTATAATTATATTATATATAAAGTATGTCCATTTATATGCAATTATATAAAATTATATATAATTAATTATATATAAAATATTTTTTCTCAGGCAAGAAAAAATTTATGTGTCGTATACTTTTTTCCGATAAATGTTAAAATCAGTATTAAACATGACATTTATAACGGTTGTGATTGATTTTGAGCTAAATACATGATGATGGATAGGATGATAAGTATAATACTATGTTCAATTTCACTTCCGCGATTCACTTCCCGGCAAATGATAGCGCACAAGTGTACTCAGGTAAGTAACAAAACAAGACTACTGAACGACGAGTTGTTGCAGCTCTTTACGGCGTTAGAGAAAAACAATTTATCGTACTAGGAATTTACGCATGCATATAGTACTACGTAGTAATGATGAAAAAAGATACCGACAAGCTTTTAAAGATGGGAGTTTATAATCAATTTAGATAATATTATTAAAAATAAATAGTACATATAAAGGATCATATGTATATAAGATCCTTTACATGCACCACCTATTTTTTATATCAATTTTCAACATAACTACTAGAATCGATTGATAAGAGATATGCACACGTCCGTAGTGTAATCTTGCTTGGCTACAAGGTCATTTATTTAATGCTGCATACATATTCATGACATATCTCAGTTGTTTTTCTTATATGATTCTTTTCACATATCTTTTTCCTACATTATATTTTTACATATAAAAATATATTAAATAAAACAATTGAGTCATCGAAAGAATAAAATAACTTGGTTTCTAATGTATCGTATTTAATATGCTCATTATTGTTATCGAATTCTTAAGAATGTATCATATCGGGTGCAAAATCATTGATAATTGATAATTCAATGCATGATGTTTAGTGTATATGGACAAAGATAAAGGATGGGTACCGGGTGCTGACCAAAATGATATAATAGCTAACGGATATTAGCTAACACGTTCATTATCATAATTCTCAGGCTTCTCTCTGCTATTAGAATCATATTTCGAGTAATCGCCTCACAAAAAAACTTCTCGCATCATGTTACATCTTTTATTAGTAAGAAAATTTTTTAAGTGATTTTATAAGTGACTTTTTATCTATCTACTGTAATAATATTGCCCGTTTTTTGAATTATTGATCTTGTATTAATTATATATACGAGCAAATAGTTATATTTTGTATAAAGAAGATGCGTTTCGCGGGTTTCCTCCGTGTCCAGATCCATTCTTGGAATGCTAACATTTCGTGGACCTTGCAGTCCACTTCATCAGGGCGAGGAACAGCCTGATACTGTCTTAACTGATACTAGTTTATATTTTATTTTGGAATAGGAAAATTTTTCGTAATTTTTTGTAATTTTTTTTATTTTACCGTAATAAAAATTTTTTTAAATTAAAATTCAAACAATTATCTTTTAAAGAACCCTATTTAATCCTAAATGTTCGATCTTTATCAGAGATAGGATTTTTTAATATTAATTACTACTAATATGTTATTTGTATTATAAAAATATATGTTATTAATTTGTATAAAATATATTTTAAATAAAATATATTTTTATAATACTAATAACATATTATTAGTAATTAATAACATGTTTTTATAGTACGGAAATTGTTTGCGATACGAATTAATGAAAATATTGTTACATACAATATTCTACAGTTATACGCATAGATGAAAATAATAATTCAACAAAGAAGAGATGTTAATAATTGCTTACTAATCTTTTAAATTCGTTATGAATAATATTTCTATATTTAAATATTATCAATATTAATATATATTTTCCTGCATAATTTGCAAACTACCCAGATGGCAAACCGTGTCTCAGCAAAATCACACAAATCTATGATTGCTTATAATGTTGGCAACTTGCCATAGATTTGTCTTCAACGATTTCGAATATACCGACATTATAGCAACTATGTGTGTATGTATTGTCAGCAATTTAACAGCAAGATAGCTGCATCAATGTTATCTTGTGTTGTCGGCAATATGAAAGCATTGCATGATGCTGTATATTATTATAGCAACATGGTGGCAGTAGTACGAATTTTGCTGACAATTTTAAAGTTGTCGGCATACTGCTAGCAAGTTGCTACTCAAAGTTATCATATCATGAAGGCATCAAGTTGCCAATAAATGAGGACTCAGTTGCTGCAATTCTGGTAGCAACACATGCTTAACAATGCATACTTAGCAACATACCAGCAACAAGATGGACGTTGCTATCTGGATAAATAATTGTCTAAAAAGATTATAGATTTAATCATGTATTAGCCAAATATTTGTATATTATAAAACAATTGATATTATCGACAATTGATATAAATTTGCAGTTATCTATTGTCGATAATGTGAGCGTTCTTTAATTACCTCCCAGCCCTTTTTGTGAGAACAAAAATTTGCCCAAGATTGATGCGGTCTTTAACAGTATCTCATTGATATAATTAATTCGGTGAGATTGATTGCCACGAATAAATAAAATGTTTTGTTTTTTTGTCCTCGTTTTATTGTCCCTTATATCCGTCTCCATTGTCATTATTGTCGATGACGATCATCGACATAGAATGGATCACCGATGACCATGGTGGGGATAGAAACCGAGTAGAGTGAGAAGCAGATAAACGGATGAACGTTCTTTCTCTGCCGTTCTTTACTAAAGCCTGATTGATTGCTGTTGATTTAGCAGTACCGCTCCAACCAATCAGGCTTAGTAAACAGAAAGAACATTCATCCATTTATCTTCTTAGAGCATTATAATAGGTGTGTTCGGCATTTGCAAATCGGAGGTGTCCATTTGCTTTTTTACCTCAAAAATCGTTCGAC